ACTAAACAAACAAAAGCACTTCGAGAAAGAGTCCCATTCCAAAATGACAAGATAAAATTGATTGAACTTGATCAGGAATTACATAAATGTATAACACCTAAGAATTATATTCCTTTTGGAGAAGTAATGGTCTCATTGTGATTATGTCAAATATATTGGAGGCAGGATTCTGAAAAGGTCTAATGAACTAAGTTATACAATACCCCCTTTAAGTCATAAATGTTAATTTGACTACAGATTTGAGTCACTTCATAAGCCTTGGTTGTATAGAGTCATTTTGATAGTTTAAAGAAGACTCTCAAAACCTAATGTTTCATCCTATCTTTTTATGACACTAAATCATACTTAGGAATTGATTTTCTTGTTCATAATCAACTAAAGATCTCATACCAATATAATATTATTAGAATTGGATTTAATTAACATAATGTATTGTAGCTGCTTTCATTTCAACAATTTTACTTCAACTGAATTTAAATATACAAGTGATACAATAAATAAGAAGAATATAAATTAATGGCTAAAAACTATTCTGAAATTATTATTAATAATTTTTTAGTTTAAAATTAATTAAAATGGCAATAACCATGTTCTAACAAAATGAAAACATCTTCAAAATAAAAATAGATGAATTCAATGATCTTTGTTAATAAAATGCACTTACTTAAAGCAAACACTTAGTTTTTGAGAAGATGAAACTTGTTTTTCTTTAAGCTGAGCAAAAAGTAATCTAATTGAATATATGTTGAAGTTCAAATTCATGAAGTTGAATTTGGATCATTTACAGATCTTCATCAAAAAGACTTTGCATAGTATATGAAATCCAACAAAACTCATTTTTTTTTTTAGAATTCCGAAAGAAACTTAGAGATTTACAATCTAATCTTGATAAAATCCCTTTATCAAATATTAGCAGCAATAGTAAAAAATAACCTCCTTCTCAAATCAAAGGAATTTAAATAGTGAGAAACTCTGGATTCTCGGTTATTAGAAGCTGAAGACACCTAATTAACTATTTTAGATAATATACGAAATCAAAAAGAAAAATTGCTCAAAGCTATTGAAGATGAATTATTTATCATTCTCAACCATAATAGACTGAAGTAATCAAAGTTGGAGCCAAAATGACTTAAAGACATGCCACTATGATTAAAAATCATCAGTCCTACAATAAAGGAATCTTCCTATCCTTAATTTGCATATTAACAATAGGAAATATACTTATCTTATATTACAAATTAATTAGTTGGTTATTTATATACACTATAATTATTACATCCTTTTTTCATTAATAATTAATTAAATAAAAATGTAAAAATTAAGTAATATTATGCGAATTAATATCTTTATTAAATACCACTAAGTCATTCACACATGAAATATGGTAATTTCCATTAGCCTTAATCACCGGTGAAAAGCTCTAAATCTTAAATATTTTTTCGTACCTTATTATTAGAATCTTATTTTATCTGCTAATAAAGAACCCTTACACTTAAATTAAAATCGACTACTACTATCTATTTTATCTAATGAATATAGATCGTATGGCTTAGCGTCTCCTCCAGAAATAAGTTAATCTTCATTATTTGATTATCATCATTATTTTTTTTCTAATATTTTAATATCAACTTTAAAGCAAGCAATTCCACTAAATTTCAAGATAATTTGAAATTACTATTTCCTTATATTTATTTTCTATTTAAACATTCATATTGACCTTTTTAAAATTATCTGTTTCAATATTATCTATGAATGTTCACTTAATAATAAAATTAATTCTTAAATCATTGATTAATTTCAACTTGAATAAGAATAAAATCATTCTAATTTTTATTTTCAAACATCAAATTTAAATTTAGACAAAATATTGTTGATATATAAAATCTATTTGCTGATATATTTTAACTGATCTTTATTGGAATCCAAATTGGAATAGCAAATTCGTAATTTTTTTTACTAACATTATATAAAATCATGATCACATAATATTATTCTTATCTTAATTTTCAAAGATAGTTTTTATATCTTTATAAAAGGAAGATTAGTGATAAAAATTAAAATGTAACTAATAAAAAATTATTTTATTTAGAGTTTATTAGAAATAATTTCAATGGTGGGTAAATATTAAAAAAATAGATAACAATTCTATAATAATTGAATAATATCATTGAAATGAAATATGATGTTCAAGCCAAGAGAAAATCTTATAAATAATAAAAAGAACCGCTATAACAATTAAAACTTTTTTAATTTGTTCACATACATTCCTCATTCTTCTCTCCTCCTCTAATCTTTATTTTTCATCTTCTTATATTTTATTTATTTTATCAAAGGCATCTTTTGCTACACTAGTGCTATTATTCTAAAAAAATCTTATCTGTTATTTCATTGTATCAATAATGTTTTATACTGTTTACTTAATATAAAAATCATGAATTTTTGTCTTAGTTTCCCAATAACTTTTTCCATTATCAAATTAATTCAAATTGATCAAGTTATTTGTTTAATTTTTAGGATAAAATTGATATGCATGAACTTTACCATCATTTAGATATTCAACAATGTAACATAAAAAATTTGATCGATATGAACCATAATTAAAATTCTAGGTAGCGACAAACAAGGCTGAATGAGGTGATGATTCACTTTCTTTATGATCACCATCTTGTTTTTCAACCAATGCTAGAAATATGAGATTTTTTTTTGAAATGTTTTCTAGCAATAATTATTCAGTTAATTAATTTGCTACAGATTAACAATTATTTAACCAAATATTATATAATCCATTTTAATTTGCAACATCTTACATTTTCTACATAATATTATTTACAGTGATATTTAATGTATCAATATCAAACTATTACTTTATAGACATTTTTTCCCATTCATATTATTCATCTTCAAATTTAGTCAATTCTTTCAAGTACTTTGGATTATTTATTATTCTTATATTAATTTAATAACCCTTAACTATACTATCATTCCCATATTCAACAAGATGATATTTCTTATCACAACTTATCTTCTCATTATCTATATTTGAAGTAACTACCAATAAAGCTTAATGAAATATTAAGCTTGTCTTGATGCTATTCATCAAATGTCTATTAAAATTTGCTATAAATATGACTTAATCTGAACTAACTTTCATCTAGTTTTGCTCTCCTCCGTTTGGTATACGACTATATGACCCATTGTAAACTGAACTTGTAAACATTAAATACTTGTTCTAATAACAAACAAAAATAGTAATTAAATAAAAAATAAAAAATACTAGTTCTATTACATATTTTAATAGAATATGATTAAATTATTAATAATGTCCAAGATTTAATGAATGTAGATATTTTTTAATACATTTATAATAGAAAATATTAAAAAATAATATCACTCTTAAATCATATTCATTACATTTAACCAATTAAGAACTCAACTTCATCATTATTATCCTCTTAGTTTAATATGAATTTTCCATGAAGCTCCTTGTTTTAAATTATTTTCTAAACATATTCTTTACTATCAGATTCATTGGTTTGTTGCTAAGAATTATTTTTAGGTTTTTTTTTTTTTGTTTATTAAAATTAAATGTTCTTTTAGTTCATTAAGTTAATATTCTTTTTGATAAAGATATGAGTCTGATAGTATATATTTTTTATGTCCACAGATTTAAATTGATTTAGATTTTATATATAAATATTCTTGATGCAATTTCAGTTAATACTATTTTATTATGATGAATTTCTTTATCTTTAAAAATCATTTAGTTATGTAATTTTTATTAGATTGAAATTGTTTTTATCAACTAAAATTCAAAGAATTGTCCATTCTTTTATTGTATTTTAGAATGAATTTCTTTCTAATTTCCCATATTATTAAGTAATGTCTTATTTTCTTAAAACTAGAATTATTAGTTATTCATTTAATAATTCTTATTCTTAAGTAAGAATTAAATATTTTTTGTAATTTAGTTCTATGTTATCAATATTTTCAGATTCAACTTTTGTCAACCTTCTTTATGATGATTGAATAGTAATCTAGTGTAACTTTTTGATTATACATTAAAATTCTGCTCTTTTGATTAACCCTCTACTAATTTATTTTGATTCTTTTAAAAAAGTTTGATATTAAGCTTTCTAATTTTTGCATAAACTTCAACAACTTAATTATATATATATATTAAAATAATTTAATCAAAATAAATAAATTACACTACACTTTATATAAAGTATTAATTAATTGTAAACCTTTGTTTGAAATAGTTTATAAATTCTGAATTGAATAGTTAATTGAATTGCTTATGAAGTATCAATTATTTAATAATTAAGATATTCTATAAATATAATTAGAGCAATTTAATATCTCATATGACGCATTAAGAAAATGGTCCAATTAAATTTTACAATCTTTCCTCAGGAATTTATTATTTTAAAATACAAGAAGTTTATAATATGACTGAAGACATCTACCCATTATTCGGATGGGATGACCCTGTTCCGAATGAATTCAAAGAAATCTTCTCTAAATATACCAAGTAAGTGTTTAAATGATTGTTATAGTGAGTAAGACTCCCGAAAGTGTAGTAGCACATTAGAAGAATCCTTAAGTAGTTGAGTTGTGTGTATGTTTTTAGTAGTGGACGAGGATTACGAGATAATAGGAAAGAGCCAAAATGAAAATTCAATCTGCCCACTTTGTTATCAAAATGTTCAATAAGGTCATACTCAATTGTACTCCAATCTACTTTCCCAGTACTTTGATGTCCATACTTAATGTGCCCTCACTTGTAAACATAAAACAGCTTAACTTGCTCTTTTAACAGATTAAATCTAGCATGCGAAAATAATGGAACGAGTGCCAGTAGACTATGACCTATTGGATCTAAATGTCAAAGTTTTTGTTGAATTCAGAGTATATCACACTATTGCACAATAACCCTACCTCAATCTAACTCATTCCACAACTCTCAAATAGAAGAAAAATACTTCCATTTTGATAGATTATGCTAATATCAGAGAGTACTTTGGAATAAGATAAAAACACCATGTACCATTAATGCAAGGTCGTATTCAGATTGATGTTCACATAATGGATAATAATCTAATGCAAGAATAAAAAAATGTTCATAATTATGAATTCTACTATAATGCAAGCAAAGTTTCAAGTGATTATATTTGTATTGGATATGATGACATATGCATATCAATGTAAAGAGAAAATGAAAATAATCAACCATTGTTGTGTTTAAAACAACTACAAATCTAAAGATGTTAAGGTTACGCATATAAAGGTGCTTGTATAAAACAATAGATGGTTTTGATTGTTATTGGTATTCTAAAGCTTTTTTTTATATATATGTGAAGCTGCAGTTCATTTAATATCTTCACTCTAAAGACTGACTAAGAGAATATTATTCCCCCGTCTAATTAAATGAAGTGAGCCTATAAGTTTAGTGTATTCAGGGACTTTGACTGATAGAGGGCCAATATTTGGGAATACTCCATCTGTACGGATGAATACTTATCTACCAGCCCTGCTTATTTCTACCCTCTTAACTATACAATCATCATCATATTCTTATGGCTGTTTAGGGGGTTATTAATTTAATTTAAATTATTTGTTTCCTTGATTTGAATTATTTTTAAATTTCCACTTTCCTTAAAGAATATCCCCAGTACCTTTTAGATGTATTTGATCTATTCCAAGAAATTTTTCTCTTCCTTAAAACTGATATCATGATCTTTTATAAGGGGTTTGCCCCTAAAATTCTCATCCCCATAGGAGATGTATTCACTTCCACTCCTTTTACAGCCATAATAGACTAAATGACTATTGGTCTTTAGTCTTTGGGTTAAAAATTTGTTACTTAGTTAGATATTAACTGGAATCAGAATTCTTTGTTCAAATCATCAGGTTTGTCTGAAGAAATCAAAAGCTAGTAAATCATTATTCCTTATAAGTTCAAAAAGGGGAAAATTCGACTAATTAGCCTCCGGGTAAACCATCTTAGTCTGATTTTTATCCTCTAGAAGTACTGAATCCTTGACTATTACCTTTACTCCTATAAAGAGAAATGACTTGGTTAAATTTTTTCATTAAAACAATTGCCTAAGGTTAAGATTAAAGTTTAAATAATTTAATTTTCATAAAGAAATTGTTTTGATGAGATTTCCAATTGATTGATATCAATGTAAACAAAGCATTTTTTTATGTTATTTATTTAAATTACTTCAGATTGAAATAGAAACCATCTCCTAATCTAGCCTTATCCAAAATTAAGATAGAATCAAAAAAAATTAATTCATTATTGTTGCTTTTTTCCTTTTTGAATGAATAATTATCATGTATTTTTGCGTTATCTGTTATCTCATAAGAGGCTTAATATTTTCCATCAGCCGCCTTAATTACAATTTTTTCTGATAAATTAAAAATTCTATAAAATTATCCATTTATTATTTAATCTATTTGCTTTGAGATATAAGTATCCATAATTAATTCTAATTAAAGAATATGAATAATGTGAAAATGTTAATTTCTATTTGTTTGATGGATGCTATTAATGCTAAAGAAGTTGCTAATTGGAATGTTTAGAATGCTATGCTTCCCAACGTTTTCAATGTGTAGAAAGATGGAATTTAATTCATTTTAAATTGTTATCCGAGTGTGGGAATAGTAAAAATTGCTTTACTAAAATATGAATAATGTGATGGCTAATATAATGAAAGCACTGATGGATTTTTTGAATGTAAATTTTAATGTACTGATAATGCTTATTGTGTAGCTTAGCTTTAGATTGTGTTAATATTAGAAGTCTTTTGAACTCTAAAATTAAATTCCTTCACCTATGTGGAGATGGGATAGTTATTGAAGAATCTGAATAATTTAATAATTGAAACGATTTACAATATGATGGCTGTTATTAATGCTAATTCTCATTAAATTAAAATGATTAGATCTGTGATCTATAAGACTGTATAGATCCTCCAATATTATAATGAGAAGAAGGGTTTTGAGGTCTTGGATAAGATACAGTATTAAATCTAAAATAAATAAATTCAAATTTTCCAGAAAATGTGATGATTTTTTTGAATCTTTAGAAGGAGTAAAAATTATCGCAATTTAGAAAATTAACGATTCTTGACTGATATGAAGTTTTTAACGGATAGGGCTATCTGCCATTATTTGGAAGGTTTCTAATTCATAAAAATTCAGACTTAATCACTAATTTATCAGGATTGAATAATAATTGGGCATGGCAATAGTGTTGTTTGTTATATCAAACATGTATTTTAAACTTTTTTCTAATAAAGATGCTGAAGGATAAGAAAGGAATCATAGATTTCATCAAGTTTTTAGTTCTCATCACCAGCATAGATAGTAAATTTATTTAAAGTGGATCAAATGGATTGAATATATTAGTAGGAATGAAGGCTGATATTAAGAACCTATCCTTTGAGAATATCAGGATTAAGAATACATCGTTAATTGGTGGTAACTTTTTTAATAATGTAGATATAAGTGGATTGAATTTGAATGGTGTTTAGATGTTCGATTGTAAATGGAAAAACTTTAAAGTCCATGAATTGAATAAATTAGATGTTTATACTGGAACTGTCTACTCAGTCTGTTTCTCTCCTGATGGAAATACATTAGCTTTTGGTAGTGGTGATAACTCCATCCTTCTATAAGAATGACAACGAAATTTAATCTGCTAATTAAAATTATCTTGCTTAATTTAAAATACCACTTTAGAATTGCTAATCATTACAAAATGGTATTTGTTATTTATTATATTTTGCTAATCCTGATCGTACAATACTTAGAATTTGTTAGAAACCTTTTATTAGAAGCATCAGGTCCACTTATCTTATAAGGAGAATTTATAAACCATTAAGGAAAAGAATTGAAACCTTTATTTAAATCTAAAGGAAGTTGCTTTTTAGAAGACTTATAGAAAAAGTGATCATTATCAAACAACGATTATAATTACAATCATAATTTAATATTTTTGTTAATTCTTTCTTTTTATTTTCACTCTTAATCTTGACTTCTAAAGCTAGGTAAGTTCTTATTTTACAAAGTTTTTTCCATTTCATTCATTTATACACTTCATTGCTTTTTATATTATTAAAATATAAGATCAATTTAGCGTAGGGATTCTTTATTTAAATAGAGATTTAAATTTAAATGATACTAC